TGTTGATCTTCCCCTCTTCTCGCATCTGTTCGGCTTCGTTGATTTGTTCGGTGTTACTGTCGGGGGGTTTTGGTGGCTCTGATTGAGGATCTTCGATTGTTTTGTTGTTGCTCTTGCGAGGGGGGATTTTGATTAGGATTTTCGATTTCTTAATTCCAGAGGCATCGGCTTCTTTCGCCCTGGGTTTCGTCTCGAATTTGTGAGGAGGTCGATCGGGATTTGCCGAATAAACCCCATTCCTTGGATTATCGAAGGGCGACTTCTTCGGATGATGATTTCTTCTGTGCTCAATTACGGAAGCTTTACCCTTGCCTGAAGGCTCCGGCGGCGGAGCCAAATCAGGGCTGGGGAAGTGACGTACACGATTACCGCCAGCACCAATTGGCGAGGGTTTCACAAACCCTACGACTTGATACGATTTGGATGATTCTACGCCGGTCGGAGACTTCTTTCTCAACTGATCCGAAGACTTGCGCGGCGGCGGCGGCGGCGGCGGCGGCGCCGCAGCAGCCGAATCTCGCAGCGGAGACTGATACCGAGGCGGTGTCGACGAGACGGAGTCCCGGAAAGGAGACTGGCGAACAGGAGAAGCGGAGGAAGGGCTAGGTCTCCTCGACGGAGATTTGACGGAGCGGCGGCGGCGGTGGGGATGGCCGCCGCTGGATTGACCGTCCTTGTTCCACCGGAGATGCTGCAGGGTAAAATTGTGCAGCGTCTGTGATTTTGCAGGAAAGGGGGACGCCATAGCAGTAAAATCAACCAACGCTCTTCAAAACGGCACCGATCGATTTCAGCGAAAACTGCCGCCGGTTAATTCCACTGGATTCACAAATCCAAAAAGGAGGAGTAAGAAAAACCCTATATGATGCGTGATCGCCGGCGAAGTTGCATCGGAATAATGAATTTCACACACACACACACACAAATCGAAATCCGAATAAAAAAAAGTGCATGTAAATGTGGGTGTTTTCAGTGTGTTGATGGTGTAGTTGATGGGTTAAATGAATTGAACTTTCAGAAGAAAGGATCTTTCGATGTGAGAGAGAGAGAGAAGAGAGAGAAAGAGAGAGAGAGAGAATAAGGTTGCAGAGAAGAAGTGAAAGGGCAGTGAGGTGGAGAAGAAGAAATGGTTAAGAAATATTTTATATATATATATATATATATATATATATATATATATATATATATATATATCATATACACGCACACATACACACACACGACTCAATCGAAGGAAGAGGGATTTGTGAAGCAATTCAGTATTTTGCCCTAATTAGGGTTATATTCAATTAAATTGATTCTTATATTTTCTATTTTTTTTTTTTAATTTAATGATGCAAATAATTCATTTTGTGAAATACTAAATATATTTTTGTTTGCTTATAACTTCACATTGAACTTTTTGTAACTTGTTATATTACGTAGATCGGGAAAAATGTACTTTTCGTTCCTCAAGTTGATCTTAATTTTATATTTGGTCCCTTCTATTCTTAAAAAAATAATTGAGTCCCTCGTGTGTTAACAATGTAACATTTTAGGTCATTTTCTTCAATTTACTTTTAGTTCGTCAGCTAGACAATGAGGACTAAATGCTTGATTCTGTTAATATTAATGGAAAATTTATATAAAGGATTAAAGGTGTTGAATTATTGAAATATGTGAGACTAAGTGCTTTTTGTGAACACGATGGACCAAATGTGAAAATAAGAAATTTGATGGACCAAAAATGTAATTTTCCCTATGTAAATCATATCGTCGAGTTTGGGATATCAAACATGGGTTTGGGCCAGGAGAATTAACCAGGCCAGAAAGCCCAAAAGCAATTCCGTCTTCGATTCTAATTCCGTTTTCGAGAAAAATCGGTAATCGAAATTTTAAGAACTAGAACAAAAAAACTTATTCCAAAATCAGAACTTTTCGGATCAGTAGCAACCTAGTAGCACGAAAACTTCAATTTGTTAACGTTTCCACGTTGCAAAAAACGTTTCGTGTCAGAAACTCGAAGACATATGCCGAAAACCTTATAGTACATGTTCATATAGAATATTTATAAATATACCCTTATACTTTTAATAATTATACGTTTTCCCCAAGTTCCAGTATCCCCATTTTTAGAACATGTCATTTCCCGTATCGCCGTTTCCGTGCTATATAGGTATCAATGGATACAAAAAAGTATATTATTTTATTCACCTATAATATAAATTACATAACGATATTGATATATAAGAAGTGTAGTTTTCGTGAAAAAAAAATTGAATCTTTTTTTTTTGAATCATTTACATAAATTAAAATCGATCGAAAATTGTAGTTCCATATATAAATTCCCAATGCCGATAAAGAAATTGAAAAAAAAAATCAAAAATCCAAATTTTTGGAAATTTGGAATGAAAATATTTTTCCAAAATCGAAAATTTTCAAATCGGAGTCGACAAAATTATTCTCAAAACCATAGCCAAACACATTTTTCCACTATACATGTGTTACAAAATCAAGTTAAGAGACTCATACAACAAGAAACTATATGCACACAAAATTACCTCCATCAAAACTAGGGGGCCGCCGCCCCCTCTCCACACCCCAACTCACCATCTCTTTCACTCAAACCCTCCTCCCACTTCTTCGCAGCGCCCTCATGAATCCGAGAAATACGAGCCACAAACGCCTTCTCGCTCGACGCAATTATAGTCGAAATGGAATATTCCTTCTCACAGTAGCCCTTCTCCATCAGCCATCTGTGCAGCTCGAATCTCGGCCTGATTCGTTTCTCCAAATCGTAACACAAATACCCCGGAAAAACATCGAGGTACTGCAGAGAAGAGCCCATATCGCTGCATAGGAATCTTATTTTCTTTTCAAGAATCGATTCTTGCTGGTTCAGAATCTTCGCAGACAGTTTCACCATTGCACAAAGACTCGAGTACTCGATCCCGCATCGGAGCAAACAATCGAATCGCCTCTGAAGTTGGCAGCTACTACTATTTAATAAAAACAATGCCTTCATCGCAAACTTATTCTCGCCAAAACCGATGTTGTGCAAGAAATTCAATTTCTTTAACGCGTGAGCGTACGTTCTTTTAGCTCGTATTTTCGTCAAATTGTCCGCGTAGTGCTTGTCCAAATCCTCCGTACAGCTAATCGCGTAACTATCCAATATCGACGGGCTCTCGTTTTTCAGCCTCTCGAAAAACCATTCGCCTAAATTCACCGATCTCATAATATGAGGCATATTAGCTATTCGATTCCTTCCGAAAACGTGAGGGTACTTTGTCTCGAGAGATTCAACTTCGGTTTCGTTCAATCCAAAGTGTTTCAAGAAACCGGAAACCGAAATAACCCGACTTTCCAAATCGAACCCGAAATACTCCGGTCTCGAAAGAAGGAACAACCCGATTCGATCCTTTTGTACGTTCAATTTACAAAAGTAGTCGATTTTGCTAATCAAACCCTCTTTCGAGTACTCAACGAAAATCGATTTGCTTCGCCCCATCAATTCGCCGATCTTCCCCATCTCACAACCCAAGTCGTAAAACGTCTTGATCTTCTCGCAAACATCGAGCAAGGAATCCACATTGCCCTCCACGCAACTCAATAAATCGTAATCCAAGAATAGTGTTTTCAAATCGGTTAACAAACCGTCCATCTCATCGTATAGAACCCGAGGGAAAACCAAGCAAATACTAATTACGCAGACGCTGTTGAACCCGTAGAAACCCTTGATTTCGGCGATTTTTTTACGCAATTGCCACTGGTCGATTTCGAGCAGCTCTTTACAGAGTGAGCCCAGTTTAATCCATGGGAAACCCAGCCCGGCCAGAGCACAAACAACATCGAAATGCTTCCAATCGGAGAGAAAAAAAGTGTTTGGGGGCAAAATGGTATTTTTTTCTTCGGAGTTCAAACCGATGCTTTCTGATAAAAATTCGAGCTCGTTAACTGGGTGGTACCTGAGGAATCGCTGGAAGGAGTTCTCGAAAGTCGCCGGAGAGAAGGGGATTTCCGACACGATTCTGGAGAGGGAATTGGGGGAGTTTCTGGCGATGTTGTCGGCGTACGGGAAGGGAAGAGAGCGCGTGGTGTGGAGGTATTCGGAGAGGGCTTTTTGGGATTCCTGGATGGCTTTAGACCTGTGTTTCCATGGGATTTGGGAGAAGGGTTTGGGGAGATTTGAAGCGGCGGTGGTGGAGGAGGAGAATCGAGAGAATACGACGACGGCGGCGGCGGCGGTGGTGGTGGTGGTTCGGCGGAGTAGCAGTAACATAGTCTTTTCATGGAGACCAGGGTTTAAGGATTTTTGAATGGGTATATATATTTAATATTATTAGTAAATTATTTTTATTTTACTTATGCCTCAAGTACACTTGTTAATTATTATGCATTAAATATAAATAAAAATAGGTATAAAATGAATTTATTTATTTTATTTTATTTAAAAAAATAAAAAATTGGATTGGATTCAACTAGTGATGCTTCCTTTGGGTTTTATTTTATTACCCTTTTAGTAATTGAATCGAATTAGAGATCTTTGTTTTTTTTTTTTTTTTTTATAGAAATCAAATTTCGAAATTATTTTTAGAACTTGTAAGAAATAATAATGAAGGGGCAAAAAAGGAATTATGCAATTAAGGTTTGAATAAGAATATATTAGTTTCATTTCGATATTATTATGAGATAAATTTGGATTTTTGTTTGCAAAATATTTTGAAAAATTGATAATTATTATGAGTAAAAATAGATAAATTTGGAGTGGTGTAGTATTTGTAAAATAAATTTTAATATTGACTTTATTTTAAAACAATTAAAATCACTCATTAATTTGGCCCATTCAACATGTGTAAAAAATAGATAGTGGCACAAAGCCCAATACTCGTATTGGGCTGAATTCTGTTGAAATTTCTTACATATGCCAAGGCGAAGATATTGGGACGAAAGCCCAATAAAAGTTAAATAAGCTGAGAAGCTCGTCGGAATGAACAGTTCGTGTATGAGACGAAGATCGTCGATCAATGTAGTACTAGTTCACTTACGAGTTCGCCAATATGCTTTAAACAATATGTAATGTCGAACTGATGCAAAGGCTGATACAGAAGATATTCTTAGTAAAAAGATAAGGGAAGAACTTAGATCTTGCACGAGGATCACATAAAGATGGAATCCTAGATCAGTCCGGAGACTCCGGGAGAAGGAAATATCCCTTATTCCAACAATTAGACCATTGCTTGTTACCTTAAAAAGGCATATACGATAACTGAAATGTCGTTCAAAATTTTAGTAATACAATTTTGACTTCGAACGCGATTTTGACCGTCTTCTAATTTGAATTTGACAAATTTCAAATCACGAAAAGTGTACTCCTTTGGAATAGCTTTCTTAGCAAACTTGAATCAGTCGAATTGGATGTTGGTGACAAAGTTATGCATCAGTGAAGTTGCAGTTTAAATTTTTGAAAACTCATATAGTTATGCATCAGTGAAGTTGCAGTTTAAATTTTTGAAAACTCATAACATCAAAATTGTGAGCAATGTTCACTAATACATACATATCTTTCTCAGTTTACGTCCAATCTTGGCGATTCAAGTTGCATTTGAAAGCTAACTCAAATAACTATAAATTCTATATCTCAAGTTTGCGAAATTCAATATCAAAAATGGTCGAAACCACGTTTGAAATTAAAATAATATTATCTTTTTTTTTTTGAGTAAAAAATAATATTATCAAAACGAAGTAATTGCACATTTCTTGAATTATATACACACACACGATCTATACATCATATGCAGAGGTAAAATGAAATAATAAATTTTTCACATCTGTATCTTGCTATGCTGCATCACTATATAAACGCCGCAATCGATTTAATTGTCAAGACTGGAGCTTTATAAGGTTTTCCAAAAGGGCCCACAAGGCTAAAAGAACACATTTTTATTTTTTATTTTTTCTCACTGGTTGAAGGAGAAAAAGAGTAATTGCCCTTCTTGATTGGGCTGCCCGCCACGATTTCTTTCATCGTTGATATATCTTCTTTTTTTTTTTTTAATCTCACATTTTCTTGATTAGGGTTCTGCTTAAACATGTAGAGAGTGGGGATTCAGTAATTAGGGCATTGCCAATTTCACCCCAATTTTAGGAAGCTTTAATCTTTTCAGCATGTTGGGTTTTGAAATTTGAAGTCACTATTTATATGGGTGGTATGTTTCTTGATCAATAGTTTTGTTAAAAGTTGTAGTCTATGTGTAAGTTGGTAATTGAGAAAGAGTTGTGCTTTCCTTTGATCATGATTATCAAAATCGAATAGGTTATTGTATTGTGTGTAGTAAGTAAAACTGAATCAAGCATGAGTAGAAGAGTGCGTAGAAAGGTTGTGAGGAGGGGAGTAGAGAAAGTCGATTTCGTCGAAAAAGACGAGCTTGATTGGACTAGGTTGCCTGATGATACAATGATTCAGCTTTTCTCTCTCCTGAACTATCGGGACCGTGCTAGTTTATCCTCGACATGCCGAACATGGCGCACCATCGGTAAATCGCCGTGCTTGTGGCAAGAATTGGATCTCCGGGCCCACAAATGCGACCCCACCGCCACCTCGTCGCTCGCTTCTCGGTGCAAGAATCTCCAGAAGCTTTATTTCCGAGGCCCCGATTCGGCCGATGCTGTAATAAGCCTTAAAGCCAAGAATTTGAAAGAGATCAGCGGTGATTCTTGTAGGAAAATGACCGATTCGACCCTGTGCGTGCTCGCGGCTCGCCACGAAGCTTTAGAGTGCCTTCAAATCGGACCGGATTTCTGCGAGAGAATCAGCAGCGACGCTGTAAGAGCGATCGCGATTTGCTGTCCTAAACTGAAGAAGCTTCGGATCTCGGGGATTCAAGAAGTGGATGCTAGTGCAATCAATGCCTTGGCGAGGAATTGTCCTAATTTGAACGATATTGGATTTATCGACTGTCGGAAGGTGGACGAAGCTGCTTTGGGGAACATCGCTTCGCTTCGGTTTCTCTCTCTCGCGGGGTCCACCAACATTAAATGGAGCTTGTTCGTGCTGCCTCATCTAATCGGCTTGGATGTTTCTAGAACAGACATTAGCCCGAGTAATGTATCGAGATTCTTCTCTTCATCACTTAGCTTGAAGGTGTTGTGCGCGTTGAATTGTCCTTTACTCGAAGCTGACCCCACTTTCGTCTATAATAACTATAACCATAAAGGTAAAGTGCTAGTTTCCATCTTCGGCGACATTCTTAAAGAGAATGAAACTAATATTTTCCTGCATTGGAGAAATTCGGAGAAGGATAAGAGATTGGACGAGGTTTTAAATTGGTTGGAGTGGATTGTGTCGAATTCGCTTCTACGTATTTCCGAGAGCAATCCGCCTGGATTGGATAACTTCTGGCTCAAGCAAGGTGCGTCTTTGTTGCTTAGCCTCGTGCAGAGTTCGAACGAGGAGGTTCAAGAAAGGGCAGCTACTGCTATTGCAACTTTTGTAGTGACCGACGATGAGAGTGCGAGTATCGATCCTTTACGAGCTGAAGCGGTTATGCAGAATAACGGCTTACGCCTTCTCCTAGATCTTGCTCGATCTTGGCACGAGGGTCTTCAATCCGAAGCTGCTAAGGTAGCTTTATTTTATGTCTCATTTACGAGTATAAACCATCTTCCAACATGAATTAAGTGTTCAACAACGTAAATAAGACACGTGTTTTTGGTGATTTGTTTTCCATTGGATTCGTTTCTTGGACACTTGTTGCTGCTTGAATGAAAGAAAATGTTCTAGGCGAGTGTTGAAAATGGTTCGGCTTTACTTGAGCTTCACTTGATTTCTAGCCAGATTACGAACCCAACTTAAAATCGTAGTAAATTCGTATATTTTCAAGATTTTAAGGATTTTACTCCCAAACTCGAAGAATTTTGCTTGGATTTTAATTGGGATTTCATTTTATGATATTGTCACCGTATCCTTGCTCTTGTAATATATTTTTTTGCTTTGTCGGAGGTACAAATTTCAAGAATTGCGAAATAAATAATTTCTCAAAGTGTTTAAAAGCTCTATCTATTATCAATTTGCAGTTGGGACAAAATCATGTTCTATTTACAATTGATGTTTTCATGTAGGCCATTGCAAATTTATCGGTGAACGCTAAAGTTGCGAAATTTGTGGCTGAAGAAGGCGGCATTGGCATTATCGTAAATCTTGCTAGGTCTGTTAACCGATTGGTCGCCGAAGAAGCTGCTGGAGGATTGTGGAACCTCTCCGTTGGTGAAGAGCACAAGGTTTTTATTCTATTTTATTTATTTATTATATTTATTTTTTCTTGCAATTTTGTTATATAATTAAATGCTTATGTTGCGAAATAAAATTATTTGTAGGGTGCTATTGCCGAAGCTGGTGGAGTAAAAGCTCTGGTCGACCTTATATACAAATGGTCACAGTCTAGTTGCGGTGAAGGAGTCTTGGTATGTTCGACATTTTTCAAGATTCGATTTTTATTATAGTTTTTTATGCTTCTTAATATTACGGTGTACCAAAACCGACAGATCATTATTTAATCATTTTTTCTTACGATATTTGATAGGAACGGGCAGCCGGTGCATTGGCAAATCTTGCAGCAGACGAGAAATGCAGCACTGCAGTTGCTTCCATGGGTGGTGTACATGCTTTAGTGACACTAGCTCGGAATTGCAAAATCGAAGGAGTTCAAGAGCAGGTGGGATTTTTTTATTTATTTTTTAATTAAATGCCAATGAATATTATATATTTGTCGCAAAATAGTCGGTCAAACGTAGGGCAATATTGAACTATGGTGGCAGTTCAAGAAATGCTCAAATGATAAACTTCAACACTTAGGCCTCGTTTGGTCCGGAGAGATTACCCATGATTAACTAAATAGTTGGACTTTGTTTGATGTTTGGTAAACCCAATAATTTTCCGGGTCGACCCTTTTTTTATTTTATTTTATTTTATTATATCATGGATCGGATCTTATATTGACTAATCTTATCTTAGAAACCAAACGAGGCCTAATACATAATGGC